CACCGCCACCACGCGAAGGAGAGCGGCCGCTCCCGTTCGCCCAGGCAGGGTCATCACCACCCATGCTGGGACCGTTGACCATGGCAGTATCATGCGTGGGAATGCTGATACCACCGCCGTTGCTGGGGGGTGCCATATCTTGCGACTGCCAGGCTGAGAGGAGAGGTGGGGAGGATGAAAGTTAGGGCGGGATCATGGTGGCGGTGGACGAGGAGCGAAACCGGACGCAAATGCGGAGCGGCGACCAAGCGAGTGGGAAGAAAACACAAGGGGAATGGTGTCACGGAGAAAGGGGCGCGTATGTGGTAGGACGAAATGGGAAGCTGTTTCTGACGGCGACCAGAGGCCGGGGGCGTCGGGGGTACCACTACAAAAGGCGTCGTCGTGTACATAGGCCTTCAGCCGACAGACGACGATGAGAAGGAAGGAGAGGGAGGAGAGGACGTCAGCTGTAGGCTGAAGGCTGCTACAGTGCAGCGGGGTGGGAGACACCGTAATACACTAGAATATTGGACGCAGGGCGTAGCGACGTCGCAAGATATTCCTCGTCGTCCTTGCCGTTGTCGGGGCTGATGCTGAAGACGTACCGTCATCCATTGCTGTCAAAGGCGAGTTGTACGCTGAACTTGAGGAGGAGATGATGAGAAAACCCAACTCGCAGCGCTCGACGCCTCGCTTTCAAATGCCGAGACTGCTTCCAAATACGACCACACTTCGCAGCCACCGCTGAGATATCTCTGGCTGAAGCTGCAGCACATCCTCCTCTTTCGTGTCGACATGGGAACTTTGCAAATGCACAAAACGAAACAGGTCATATAACAGTGTGTTTTGTACATGCAATGTGCACGCAGATCAGAGAAAACGCACAGTATTAGATAGGACAGCCGGAATGAACCGGTTCGCTTGGGCGGCTCGCCTGTCTGTCCCGATTCACGGCGGGTCGCGACCTGGCGCGACCTCGAGCAGTAACGTACACATTTTCTCCGCCCACCGTCAGGCTCCCTCTTTTCTCCCCCCCGTCCTCTACCACGATGCGTGCCCAAATGATCACCTCCCTCCTCCGCGCTCGCCCCGTTGCCCGGCGGATTGCTCCCACTTTTGCGCGCGCATCCAGCGGCCAGGTCCACGAAGAGACATTCGAGTCCTTTACTGAACGCTACGTCACGTTCTTCCAGCAAGCCCAGGACCTTTTCGAAGTCCAGCGAGGGCTCAACAACTGTTTTGCGCACGACCTTGTTCCCGCGCCTTCAGTCATCGAGGCTGCCGTGCGCGCTGCACGCCGCGTGAACGACTACGCAACCGCTGTCCGGGTGTTCGAGGGTATCAAGGAGAAGGTAGAGAACAAGCAGCAGTATCAAGCGTACCTGGATGAACTCAAACCTGTGAGGGAAGAGTTGGGTTAGTCACCTGCAGCGTGTTTCTGTCCGCGTCGCACTAAACGTTAGCACAGGTATCTCTATCAGTGAAGAACTGTACACATCATAAAACAACCTCTTTTAATATTAGAGTACGTCTGTCCAAGCAAGCAGTCTAAGTACGCGTGCTAACCGACGCGTCGTAGTGTTTGTTGCTCAGTGAAAAGACGGTTTCTTCATCCCTAAGTTTATGATACTAGTAGGGACAAGGGGCTTGCCTGCCCAGCTGTAATCCGTCTCACCCAGACCATGGCTAGTCAACGTTCCTGCATGCAGCCTCCCACCCATCTCGTGTTTCTAGCGCTACATGGGACTTCAGCCTCCAATCCGCCCACTTCCAATTCATGTGGTCGCTACGTGGTTTGTGTGATCGATGCCCTAGTTGCTTTCATCAACATTGCTATACTCAACCTTGATCGCAACATTTCTTTGTTCATTTCAATCTTTCTGGCTATGAGCCTTTCTTTGAACGGAGCTGAGGTCGCTTGCCTTGTGGTTTTGCGGCGGATTGATTCATATTGAGCGCGTCCCGCGTGTTATTCCCACGTGTATACTCTTTCCGCAACCGTCTGTTCTCTATAAAACTCTGTTCCTTTTCGACGAACCAGCTGCGGTCGACTATAACGATCTTTTGCGATATCATGTCTGAGACAACGGGTGCCGGAAATAGTGCGCTGAATGGTGTTGGTTCATTTGTGCGGAGCATGCTAATCAGCTGAATCGGTCCAACAGATGAACGCCTCCTCGCAGCTGCGCGTAGCGACAATGAAGAACTCGTTCTCGAAGTCTTTGAGCAGGAGGGCACATTCAACATTAATTTTCAAGATGGGTACGTGAAAACCCTCCCTAGTCACATTCTTCCATCTTATATTCGCGACCTCGCAGACTAGGCAATACAGGTACGCCCCTATACTGTCTATACACCAGATCCCTCAGCTTATCTACCACACCCTCTATGACTCAGCTCTACACTACGCGTAAGTATGTACTTCGCTCTATGCCCGTCTGATCTTCTGTCCGGCCGCTCACGAGCACGAATCAAATTTCATTGATGCCCTATACAGCGCATCACACGGTAGCACGGGTGTGCTTGAGTACATCCTCTCGCACGAAGAATGCGACGTGGACCTAACCAACCGTCTCGAAGGTGCAACGCCGCTGCATCTTGCGCTTCGCCTGGGCGACCCTGAGATTAGGGTACTTGTTGTGGAGAGTCTGCTTGATGCGGGGGCGAATACGATGTGCGTGGATTTGTAGCAGCCGTCGCACCCCTCTGCGTATGAGCTGACGTGCTGGGCGGGTGGTATTTTGGGATGGTTTGACGGACAGGATCAAGAACAAGCATGGGCAGACTGCGCTTAGTCTCTTGGGCCCCAACGATACAGAAATTCGTACGCTGATGCGAAAAGCACAAGCAGAGGCAAATGTATCACGCGACGACATCGCAGATGGTGTGTGCAATTGGAATTGGTTACGCTGGACGTGCACTGCTGATCGCGTTGTGTTTTTTCAGACGATGATGACGAAGACGGCTCCGGGTCTGGTTCCGGCTCAGACGAAGACTGATATAGTACAGTGTGCAAGAATTTGGAAATGGATAGATCAAGAACAGGAACAAGGGTATAATAGGATGTAGACTTACATGTATCTCGTGCATTTTGATCTCAGCACACAGTCCACTTATCACAAGAAACATTCCAGCTCACAAATCGTAGCGACACAGCCGAGACACAGCCAATCGCATTAAATCATTTCGTATAATCGACACCGTCTATTATCATGCATGAGTTCAATTCTGTACCCACTTTCCGGACGACCACTCGGTAAATGTCGACGTCTGCTTGAGCCACTGCACGAGGTTGTCTCGCTTGACCTTCATGCCCTTGTCGCTCGACTCAATCTTCACCTTCTTCCCTTCCACAAGCTCCCATTTTTGTTCCTTAACTGTAACCAGCCCTTCTTTCAGCTCATCGCCGCCCAGAATGACTGCAAACGGCGCCTCATCGCGTTCACCGGCCGCGAATTGCGTGGGTAGCTTCGGTTTGCTCTTGAATAAAAAGTCTGTCTTGATCCCCGCCGCCCTAAGCTCCTGTACGAGTGATACACGCTCATTCAGCAGTCCGTCGCCCGCCGCCATGACGTATACCATCGTCTCCTTGCTCCGCATCCCCTTCGCGACCCACTTCGGCCACACTAGCGCGAATACCCTGTCCAGCCCGATGCTAACGCCAATGCAAGGCAGCCCTGCGGTCTTCTTCCCTTCTCCTGCTGCTGCCGCAGTGAACATCCCCACGAGGTTGTCGTACCGCCCGCCTGCGGCGATCGAACCGACGCCGACTTGCGACTCGTCAATCTCCTCTTCTTCATCCTCGTTGCCGGATGCAGGCTTTTTCGACTTCTTTTTGCTTGCAGGCGCAGAAGGTGCGACATCAGAGACGGAGGAAGCTGTGGACGACGAGGCGAAGGCGTTGGCGGACTTGAAGCCTGGCGGCGCAGATGCTTCGACAACGGCCTCGTAAATGATGCCAGTGTAGTAGTCTAGACCGCGGGCCAGAGAAAGATCGAAAGAGAGCTGTCAAATAAAGTGAGGCTAGACCATGTTGAGATAGCAGCCCTCGTACCTTCTCGACCACCTTGTACGATCCAAGGTAGTTGAACAGCATGCCCATCTCCTCAATGCCATTCTTGGCGCTGGCATTCGCCATCAGTGCGCTGTCGGCTTTGAGCTGTTCGAGTAGAGCCGGACCGCCTACGGCATCATGTTAATTAATTTCTAGTCGAAGTGCATGAAACTAACTTGCCTTTGTGCTTGACATATTCGCCGATCTTGTCAGCGACGGCGGGGTCGAGGCCTTTCTCCTCCGTCATTTCCTTCTTGACATCCAGCCAAGGCAGCTAATACACAACTTTCAGTACTTGACGAATCGGATCATATGGCAGAAACATCACCTTGTCCAGCTTGTCCACCGCAGAAGAAATAGTCCGGATCTTCTCTGGGGATACACCGCACACTTCGAAGATACCATCGAGGATCTTTCTGTGGTTGATCTTCACATCCACGAATGAGACCGTCGTAGTAGAACATGCGAGTATGCACGAACCTTTACAAGGAACTCCCCGACGTCCAGTCGAGTCAATATCGTGCACAGCAAGCTGATGAGCTCTGCATCTGGAATCATGGGATCCCAAACACCGGCAATGTCGAAGTCCTGTGGCTTGGTTGAGACTCACAAAATCGATGAAGCAAGATTTTGTGCTTACGGCTTGAGAGAATTCCCGCATGCGCCCCTTGGACATGACAGGGTTGTCTCGCCGGTACACCTTGCCAACCTGCCATAGCTTCGCCTGCGAGTTAATGGCGCCGTTCATGGCAAGGTACCGCGCAAGGGGGACGGTATGATCGTAGCGCAGTGCGAGCTGCTCTCCACCTTGGTCCATGAGATCAAAAATGAGCTTAGCATCCTCGCCGTACTTCCCCGCGAGGATGTCTTTCCGCTCGAAAACGGGCGTGTCAAGGCAACCTCCGCCGTACGTGGTAAAGCAGTCCTTGACCGTGCGCTCAATGTGCTCGCGGCAGAACATTTCGCTTGGGCCATAGTCGCGTGTGCCCTGGGATCATTCAAGCCATCTACATGAGCTTGAGCGTAGTACAGGCATGACATACGACCGTGCTCACCTTGGCTGTTTTCAAGAGCAGCCGCTCCCTCTTCTTCGCGCCTTCCTTCGCGCCGGCAGCGTTTTGCAGTAGCGCCAGCGACCGCTGCAAGTCCCCCAGCTTCTTCTTTGCCTCCTCGATGATGGCAACATCCGCCTGCTGCTTGCGCAAGTCGTTCAGCAGACTCTTCTGCTGCGCAATTTCTTGGTTCAACGCCTCTGTCGACATTTCTCTGCGATAATAGGTGGGTCGTATGAGTACAAGTAATCGATGAGGGCGAGATGCAAAGCCGCGTGCGGCTTGTGCGAGCATACAAATATACGAGAGGCAGACCAGTGATATGATGATTTTCATCTTATCAAGCCGGCTGGATCGGCTAACAACCGATCGGTTATCCATCCGAACTCAACTGCTTCCAGCAGTTATCCCCAGCCATTACAATTGCCCTCGCCGAGCATCCAACTCTCGTAAGTCTACACGTCAACTGAGTGGTTCCAATGATACCTCAAATCCCCAGTCGACGTGACTATATTGGCCCGAACTTTATACGACCGACATTCAATATCCGCTATGCATGTGTGATGGTGTTTCGACTGGCACTGCCAAAGTCTGACGCTCGCTGATGCAACTAAATTCCGCGACACAGTCGCTTTACTATAATAGAGCTTGTTTAATCTGTATTCTAAATATCGCTATATCATCGATCGAATCTCCAAATCATCATGTCGTGAACGTATCGTCTCTCGCAGGTCTTTATGTAGCGAAGCTTCGAGAAGCGCGACGTACCAGTTTCAGCAGTAATATCCCTCCCATCCTCACCGATTCTTCAGTGTTTTTTGGCATTGACCGTAGAGGCATCGACCCACTCCCCATGGCGATCTTTCTTCCGCACGGTAAAGCAGGCGATACCCAAATAGTTTGTGATGTCCTTGATTACGAGCGTACAAAATCTTGCATACGAGAGGAATGAAACGGCCAGTGTCACATAGATGAAGATGGCCGTGTTACGTCGAGAAGACTGAATGAGCGATGGCCTGTCATGTCGGCTTGGCTGTTAGCAATTTCCATCATGTCGTAGAGTTGAAGAAACACACTGGTCAATCAGGAGCGGAAGGTTTGCATCTACTGCGCCCACAATACTCCATATCCACATGGAATCCCACCACGGGAAGGGCTGCTTCGTGACGTGTGCTAGAATCATTCGTGATACTTGATGTGCGAACTGCAAGCCCCATGCACAAAGGAAAGGCATGAATAGTGGAGAGTGAAGAATAGTCGATTCTTTGAAGGATGGTGCGCTCAACCAGAATAGCTCTATGCTCACGGAGACGGGGAAGGGAAGGAGTAAGAGCAATGGAATAAATGGATTTTTCCGACTTGCTATACGCGACTTAAACACATTGAAATAACTGGAGATATTTTCTATGTGATAAGCAATCTGAGACCCAAAGACCAAACGTACCTGACCAGTATATTGAATGCAAGCGCAAACGCGCCAAACACCATGAATGCTTCATTCAGAGGAAGATCCGGTATTCTTTCTGCTATAACAGGTATCTTCCCCAATCCCGTAGAGCTCAGCAGGCGAGAGTCCCAGAATGCAGCGCCTAATACCAGTCAGCGTTATTCAGGAATAGGTACGTCAATAATCCTACCAAATATCCCAGAGACGGTATATATAGAAACAATCATGAGGATACCCTCCACAGGCCCAGAGAACCATCCCAAAAAGAGTTGACCTACAATTGTTACATCATTGTGAGTTCTTAATGGTTTGAAGAGGGCGAAAATAAAAACTTCACACCCGTGTGGTACTCTTCCCATGTTGAGAGATAGAAATTAGCTAGCGTAGCAACTTGGGATGCGACGGTCCACCAGGAACGTCCGAGGTTGAGGGCACGCGATGCAAGAATGACTTCCAGCTGTTTGAAAGCGAGAAAGCGTAAATCAGGGACCACACCGAGCATAGAAGAGGATACACACAGTTGTGTTAAGCGCGTCACATCCTACATAGAGATGAGACTTAGCACAGCGATCCACAGGTCACAACGTACCGTGGTCGAACATCTCTCCTAATGGACCTGCCATACCAGTTCTCCGCGCTTGTTTTCTACATGAAATATGCATCAGCGCCAAAGGTCAGCAGATGATTGGAATGATGTTTACCCATCTATAGCATCAAATGTTTGGTATAGGAATAAGCCAACAGCCCACCTACAAGCAAGGCCTACGCAGTAAGTCCTTGAAATGTCGTATATGAAGATACGTACGTGAGATATATCCACTTGGGCGGTCCCACCCCATCCTCATCTACTAGATACGCGGGGTCAAAGTATACCAAAGTTGCAAAGTTGATGAGAACCAGTATAAGTCCTGAAAGAGTGATCTATCACTTGGGCTTAGCGGCTTCATAACAAGAACGATAACGACAACGATACGTACCGTGTTCGGCGCAACCCAAGTCGGCCAAAGGCTCACAAACCATGTCCAAAAAGGTTGGAGAATGTATATCGATACAAGTGATCTGGGGAATGCCACGGGCATCAGCTATCCCTGAAATAAGCATTGTGTATAGCCATACACCTAACGGTGCCTTGACTCACTTGTCAACCCCTTTGTATGAATATTTGCGCAGATTTTCAAGTGCATGTTCCGGAATGTAAGTCATCGTTTATGTCGTCAGCCACCAGAAAACAAGCTGAGAGAGGGCAGAGGGTGCCAAAGGCGAGCCACCTAAGGACACGCAAGTGAACGGATTGCCAGCGGAGAAAAACAGAAGGAAACTTGCTTGTGGTTAGCCTTTCGCCTTGTCCAGTCGCGCTACGTCACACGCACGTGCGTCGCGAATTTCGCGTATGGCCGGTCGCCGACTCCCGACTCCCGAGTATATATCGAACAGGCTCGGAGCCGACATGCTATCGCACTGTGGCTCACCCCAGGAAACCAATCGAGATGAAATAATGAATCGATTACGAGATGAGAAGGAGAAACGATGAGGTTGATCCATGCGATTATGAGTTTAGTAGCTCATTATTGAGGCAAAATGAGCCAGTGCCTCGCCCGAAGTAAATCACGACCTTCAATACACCCTCTCATAGTTACATTCACTGTTTGGTTCAACGTATTTACACGTCGTCTGGTCATATACCGTCATTGATACACAATTTCACGCGCTACCCCACCATTAGAACTGGATGTTTCACCATGGCACAATACCCACGAGAGCACACCTCAAACATTACTTCATTTGTCATCCCGCACAACCAGGGTGGGCAGATACGCACCAGTTAAACGCAGGGATGACTTTTCCACTGCAATAGTTGCATGGACCACACAGCACAGACTATGTAATATCTTTTGATATCGCAATAGAAGGTCACTGATGCTAGTACATGGGTAGATCGAAAGCTCAAATTCGAAGTATTTAAATAAGCTTCAATGCCATGGCTCCCGGAAATTCCATTCGAGAGGCCATTGATCAATACAGGTGATGTGCGAGCACTTCTACGATGCTTTACTTCTTCCATCGTGCGTGGACTTTCTATGGATGTGGCACCAGCCCGCAGCTCCGTACGCATGTAGCATTCAACCTAAAATTATAATCCAGAATCATCTTAGTGGCGATAATCCAGTGCAAACACATCGCCTTATGCCTCTCTGAAACACCTTCCCTCCCGCATCTTGCCCTTTGAAGTTTGGATCAAGTTGAAACTGCGTTTCACGCTCTTGTTCACGCGCAACGATGAAGAAATTCGAACCCTCCGTCGTCTACTGGCAACAGTGATGTGCACTAGATATATCTTCGTGCTCTTTCCTGCCAATCAACCATACTGCTTCGTCGATTAACGTTTGAAATGAAAACAACTTTTCAATGTTCAAGAGTTTTTTGAGCCGAATCCCAGGCGAGGGGTATCAATAGAGAGGCGGGCAACAGCACATAGTGGCCGTCAAGGAGAACCATAAGTCAAAGTGAATTGTAGTTGACACATACTTAAAGTACACAGTTCAGCCCGAGTCCAGCCTAAGAGGATACGAGAATAAATTCAATTGAACAGAGAATAAGCTAAGCGCCCCGAAGCGACGCGATCCGCCGCGACCGTCACCTCGCCGTGTGTTCTGCTTCGGTTCTGCCTCTTTCAAAGACCAGCCTGGGTCGCGCAACGTCGAGAATCGTCCTATAGGAGTTGAAGCTGACGCAGAAGCAATATCTGTATTCGAGGGTCATCGTCGAGGTGTAGGAATTACCCGACGGTAAGTTCTAGTTTCCGAAAGATTTGCGAATGATCTACTCCCGGGAGCGCTCATGAGCCTGATAAATTGCAGGCTCCGGGGCAGAGGTTGCCAATTTTGAAGACCCATCGCGAGTCACTGGACACCAAATGGCGAGTGTGAATCAGATGTCCTATTGGATGTCTACTGCTTCCGATATTGTCACAAGACAATGGCACCTCTTCCTGCCTATCGCGATACTCTTCTCTTCAGTCATCTTCCTTGGCTGGAGGTCATCGCTGATTGAAGGAAACGAAGACAATTCTGACTCTAACAACGTAAAGCTCAAATCTTTGGGCAATTTGGATACCATACTCACAGAACGCGATATGCTGAACATAGACCGTTGCAGAGATCATGGACAAAGAATACGTGACAGAAGTGCCTTTCCACGTCGGTGAGGTGCGCGTTTCGAGGATTTTCGTACATCCCATTAAAGTGCGTATGTCTCTGAGCAATGAGGATCAGTGCGTTCTTACTTGGTACACAATCAGAGCTGCCGCGGGACGTCAGTGTCGGAGGCTCGTTTTACACCTACAAGTCTCGAGGTGAGCGTGATTCCATGATCGACTGCAGGAAACCGCATCATAGCCGTTGCGTTCTTCTGCAGCCCTCCCGCTCGGATAGAGCGGGTGCAATGTTTCCAGCAACATCGGCCTAAACAGCGTTCACCAGAATGACCGAAAGTGGTGTATTGTCGACGCCCAAACTAATGCTATCATCACCGCGAGAGAGTTCCCCAAGGTGCGCTCCGCGACTGTTCTGACTCTGCTCAGGCATACTCATTGCAGAACAGATGGTACTCATCATTCCACGGCTTGATGTCGATTCCTCTTCACCGCACGGTGGAAACCTCACTATATCTTTCCCGAAAGAATCGGGATGTTCGGAATTCAAAGTGCCTATTGCGCCGACACCTGATATGCTTCGCAAGTGGGAGGTGTACGTGTGTCTGCGATAATTGTTGTGTCCTATTAACACCTTTATCCTGCAGACTAGAGGATTGCAAGATGCACAGGATCTTTGTCATGGATGGATATATCTCCCAGTCTATCTCCTCATCTCCGGACACACCCACCAAGACACTGTCCAAATACTTCGGCAAGCCGGTGCATCTACTGATGAAAGGCCCGACTCCGCGTGAATGTCCCCCGACTAGTGCATTCCCCGACCTCAAGGCGACCGCCTTATATGCTGTGCGCATTCTCAGACGTATGTTTATCTACACATTCGGCCTCATTGTGTCATATGACAGGACGCGTATCCTCTGCTCGTTGCAAGCGAAGAAAGTCTTTCCGAGTTCCAGAGAATAGTACAAGGATTTGCAAGTAAAGGGAAAGAGGCCGCTATTGGTGGCTTAGATCACGGACGATGGAGCAAAGGCAAGGTCGAGATGGAGCGGTGAGACAATCTCGACTGTCTATACCCTATTGTTGCTTACAACGATGATCAGATTCCGTCCTAACATCGTCTTGAAAGGTGCAGGAGTGCCTTTTGCTGAAGACTTCTGGCGTACCGTCGTCCTCCATTCATCCAATTCAACCGCCAACTCGGAGCTTACGCTCCTTTCTAAGTGTACACGGTGTTTGGTCAGTTGTTTTACTCAGCCCAATACCTTGATTCACTCATCGCTTGACATATACGCTCAGCTTCCAAACGTCGATGTTCATACCGGTGTTCGGGACGCAGCAGTTCCCTTAAAGGTTTTGTTGAAGTTCCGCATGGGCAAGGATCGGGAGAATATGAAAGCGGCGTGCTTCGGATGCAATGGGATGCTGGACAAGACCGGAGTCGTGAAAGTTGGTGACCTCGTGACGATCAAAGAATGGACAGATCTGGAGGGTGTATGAATCCAGTCGTATAATGCTGTGGTGAATTGATAGAATCATAAATAAATTGTGCTGTGTATCATCTCGCTCTGAAGTGACAATATCTTGGGCATAAGAGCTCTGAACCTTGTTCGATTGGTAGGGTTGAGAGGCGTTCGAATCGGAAGTATTGAGAAATTCATGCACAGGACCCTTCCGCTGAATCAAATCAGTGCGTCAACGCATGGGCGAACGGAAACTCGATGGAGACACCGTTCCCTGACGTGTCAAACACGTCGAGGGATAAGACCAATACCGCCTGCATAAGAATACATGATTGATATGCATGTCAGTCATTGGCTACACTTGAGACTTTCAGACGATCTGGATTATTGCGATGGTGAAGCATTGAATAAACAAAACAAGTTCACTTGCATGGGCTCTACCAAGAGGACGCTGCTAAGGTATGAACGGAATGTTTTTGATCCATCGCATGATCATATCCTTCAATCAATTTCTTTTAGCCTATGGACTCAGGATAGCATCGTGAACACGTACCGCAGCAGCTTCAGGCTGGTCATGCGAGACCATGTGTCTGTACATAGTTGCCATCCAAGGCCTCTGCATATAATCGGGAGGTCCACTCACCCCGCGTCATAGATTTGCACGAACGTAACGTTTCCGGCGCCTTGTCCAGCAGTCCGTACTTCCCCACCGAGCAGGCCAGACTTTATAGTATACCACCTTCGCGAGGGTGCCTTTCCGAATTCAGGATGGAAGATATGCTCTAGCTTCCGCATCCACTGCTCGATACCCTGTAGACCAGTTCGTGAGCAGTGTGCGGGTAATATTCGAACACGAATGCTGACCATATAGTTGCATACGAAGTCTGCGGCTATGTATCAGTACTATGCGCGTGTAGCGAATATTAGTACACACACCAGTGTTCCCAGCGTACACAACAAGACGAATACCCGCATCGATCAGCTCTGGAAGCAAAGCTGCGCTGTTGAGCATAGCCTGTCCATGCTCGTAGAACGCGGCATTCACAGTCATATTACACATTGCGAAGTCCCGGCCCATATCGACGCCCAGCGCACGTTTGTGGGAGGGCGCATTCAACCACTTCTCGATTCCTATAGTTTCTTCGTAGCATATCGAGCTATTTTCATCGCACACCTTGCGCAAGTCGTACGAGTTTCGATCAGTTGCTAATATAACGAGAATAAGCCCATGCGGACAGGTAGCCAATGATCAACTTACATATTATTGCCCCCATGAAATTTCTCCAGCAGGAAGATGTTGGGGGACTGCATGTTAGGTTTGAGGGATATTCATAGCATGCTTCAATCATAGCCGTGCAAACCGGGGTGTTGCGAGCCAAGGCTGTACACTCAGGCCCGTTGGGGTCGAACGGGGGGTATGGTGAAGAGCCACAGGCGTAGGCGGGTATCGAAGCAAATTGAATGACTGGATCTGTAAGACCGTTGGCGAGAATCACGGATGTCATATTGATTTTCGGAATTGCGAGAGGATTGGCAATGTCTGATTCTTTGTTCATTCGATGTATAAAATGCGCAATATGAGGGCCATAATGGCCACCCCAGCTCTCTGCGGCAATGTGGAAAGGGGCGGACGCATATTGTGGATAGCGGGAGAGGAAGAGGGATAGGAAACAAAACGCGTCAGATGCCATAGCGGCTAAAGTCTCCACGCTGGAGCCATCTGTCGAATGCGAGAATCTAGTACCAATCGGAGAGTCCAGGAAGATGATGTTGGCATGTCCATTCCATGAAAGATCGTTGGTCTTCGTCGAGTTACCGTCGCGCACAACAGTACATGGCCCTAATTCAAAAAACATACCCACCAGTGAGCTGCATCCAGGGCCACCGTTGAGCCACAAGATCAACGGGGCGCCTTCAGGAGAATTTCTCGCTTCAAAAAACCTGCATGGTGAATGTATCTGAGCAATCCGGCACCAGTAAGCATATTTAAAGAAATAGGCGCACCAGAAGAACAGATGACGACCGTCGCTGATGTCTATGTACCCGGAATATTGCTGAACAGCCGGGTCGCAAAGTCTGGTCTTCGGATGTGCTACAACCCGCAAGCTATGTTCTGTGAACAAGATGTGTGTTGTCGCCTCATACTCTGATATTTCAGCGTCACGTCAGCTCCGAGGATTTTTAGCTGTACGTCCACGCACCAACGCCTCCATCACACGTCTCCGAGATAAGACGAGTTTGAAGTGCTGGATTGTCAGTTTCCGAAAGACTGCCGAAGGAGATCTGCGTGCCGCAAACAGTTACACAAACAAGCAAGAGCTGCACAATTCGAAAGAGCTATTGAGGACCTCATTCTGCTTGTACGGTTAGAGGTGAAAGTGTAGATGGCCGTTGGAATATCTAGAAGTAAGTTATATACTGCAACGCACTATTCTCAGTGTCTACGGATCCAAGGATTTGACAGTAGACTGATCACATCAATAACTCGGTAGCCAAACACTCATAACTATAGATACCACTACTGGTGACTGCACGCACCAGTATCCATAAATGCGCACACACTGAAGATACCGTGACGAGACAGCCCATCTCCCCGCAACGATATCGATACTACGGTGTGTTTAGTCGAGTAAGATTGTCCTGTTTCCCACTCGTCACGGAGAACAGGAACAAATTCGAGTTGGCAATAGGAAACAGTGTGGTCTTGGAGCAAAAGAGTTAAGATATTGACAAATTGAAATGCGACGAAGGTCTTAATGTAGCTGCAAGGGGAGTACGCAGAGTACTCAATGCGCGCGTAGGCTCCGGGTCTCTCGTCCACGATGACGACGTTATGCATCAAGCAGTGGCGGAAATACTGGCTTTCGCATCATGATATTGCGCGCTTCCGATCGCGAATCTGTCAACGCTTGGCGCTCATTAGCGTCCCCTGCTCAGTGCTATGACCTCCAATGACGCTCTCGCACAATTTATTGAGGATTGGAAGGAGATGCATGCATGACCCGGCCAATTTCGCGCAGAGGCCGATGAGATCACTGTTAACGGACAGAAACTAGGATTTTCTCAAAGTGATGACTGGCTGGACTGGCCCTTGTACTAAAACATATATATATCATGACTGTGACGGTGGCGCAACGTCAGTGTGTGTTATAAACAGCGCTCAAATATTTCATACGGGCTACTATATTTACGAAATTACGGCCTCGCGCTTGAGTGGGAGCTCTAGGTACGCTGTTCTATCGCGAATTTCTGCCTAATACTTCAAAGCCAGAAAGCCGACCTTCAAGCTCATTTGATCAACCTTACACGCGGACGCGAACCTAGAAATCGTGGATATTCTCGAATCTTTGGAGTCCGTTGTCATGGAGGACATGTCGTTATCACGCTATCCAGAACCACTGACGTCAGTAGAGACCTCAAGATTGTACGATGTGCACTTCTCTTCGGCTGTGTTGACCTGGCGCCTGTGGTGTCTGTGATACTTGAAGATATTTACGAAGTCGTTTTGTTGAGCCTCTTTGAGGGGACAGACATACTTAATTCTGATTGCACCGAGCTCATATTCAATTCCTGCACGAGTCTCAACGATGACCTACTCGATCTGCGTACCCCACGCCGGACAGTAGATATGTCCGACTCGGACGATGTGTTCTCGCAATACACAACTGCCCCAGAATTGCGGACGATACCCTCAATCGACTCATCAATAATCGGATAGATGCGCATGCTGCCACCGGATTCGCAAACCGTTACACTCCTAATTATGTAGTAGGTTTAATCCAGACTTTATTCACGGACAGGGAGGTAAAGATTCCGTGCAGGGATAGCTGACGGGTTACGGTGGCACCAGATATCCAGCGACAGCAGAGAGGGGGACCCGGATGTAGCATGACTTCGAAGCCAGCGAGTGACGATGATATCAGTGATACAGCCCTAGCCCAGGGCGACTGAAGTTGAAGAGTAAGCAGACGCGACTCGAATCCACACGTACTTCAGGCCGTCCCTATCTAATCTTTACACAACGAATGTGGCCAAACCCCAGGGTAGATGATAAAAGTGGGGAGGAAACAGACGAGTAAAGTCGTTAGAATAAATGAACATCCAGTTCTGGCTGTTGATGCAGCGATGGATACAATGCATGCTACCGCCGTGATCGAAGGTCGAGGATGGCCCTAAGCGCCCCAAATATTCGCGCGCTAAAATTTCCAACGCTCTCCCAGACTTGTTCCAGGGATTCTACCTGCACTCCAAAGTTAGGAGAAAGCGCGTTGTGTGCAAGAGCATGGAAGATATGAATACGATTTTTCAGCTACGAATCTATGCGGGTCACGGCTCTGCAAAGGACGCAAACCGAGTAATAAAGAAAACGGAAAGCAGTCTTCCGTCCTTTAGTCGCGTCGTTGCGGGCCCGGCTGGAGCGTTCGTTGCACGGAACTTTGAACCGTGGGAACAGGAGGAATCGGACCTTCAACAGGAGAACGACAGTCAGCTTGGGTCCCCCCCCGCCGTTTGTCGTCTCTTCGTCGTCAACCACCACCGCCCGCTTGCCCGCCACTCGACAAGCCCGCCCTCGCCGATCGTACTTAACCTCTACACCGTCCCACATATCATTGGATAGCCATGGCTCGTACCAAGGTATGTAGTGACCCCTTTTTCGTCGTGGGGTTCACTAGCAAATGACAGTCGTCCTCGACAACGTCGTCCCTGTTGTTAGCAAACTGCCCGCAAGTCGACTGGTGGTAAGTTCGCGTTTTCTTATCTATCCTAATACACATCATGATATCCCACCCTCGCAGGTAAGGCTCCCCGTAAGCAGCTCGCTACGAAGGCAGCGAGGAAGACTGCGACCGCTGTGCGTCGTTTCCTTATCGTCGTCAAGCTCTCAGCTCACAGGGTTGTGGGCGTGCATCGCATGGTGCTGTATGGCGTTGTTTGTGTTGTCGTATTTGTATAGGCCGCCACCGGAGGTGTCAAGAAGCCCCACAGGTTCCGACCCGGAACGGTCGCCCTCCGTGAGATCCGGCGGTACCAAAAGTCCACCGAGCTCCTAATCAGGAAGCTCCCCTTCCAACGCTTGGTCCGTGAGATTGCTCAGGACTTCAAGGTGCGTCTCCGGGATCCTCCCCTTCGAGCATGGTCTGGTATTCATCTTTAATCCATTTGGTGTAGACCGACTTGCGCTTCCAGTCTTCGGCCGTTATGGCCTTGCAGGAGGCTGCTGAGGCTTATCTCGTCTCCCTCTTTGAGGACACCAACTTGGCAGCTATCCACGCAAAGCGTGTTACCATCCAGCCAAAGGATCTGGTACGCAGCTTTGTCTTTAGTTAGTTCCGGAGCTTTGACGCTGACTATCTGCGCAGGCTCTTGCTCGCCGTCTCCGTGGGGAGAGATCTTAAATTGGTTGATAGTTATATTGCACGGTGGCCCAGCATCAGCACTCGCACTCCTCTCCTACCGTACTTGAATGATGTGTACATTACTTGAAGCGTATGACTAAGTCGTGAAGCTTATATGATAAGTTCAAGCTAATGGTCTAGGTTTGCCTTCATTGCTGGGCTGCGAGTACAATAGCGGTAATTCGCAAGAGTGTTGATTCGACTGATCAGGCCACAGCCGCCTGTGTCACTAGCCCCGCCCATCATTCATGAGGAACGGCGACATGCGAATGTCGAGAGCATGCTTGGTGGGCTAAGCAAATGCCTAGAGGATGGAGGTCGGAGATATTGGATTTTCCGCGTCGACGAGAACCATAAGTCGCGTCCGGAACTTAGACACTGTCAACATGGCGTCTCTCCGCACATACATTCGCCGTGGCAAACGGAAACACCGCTGCTGGAACTAAGTTGTACCAACCATGCCAAGGAGGGAGGGGAGATGGGAGAGGAATGCGACATGTAGTAGACTGCTTGAGTGTCATGACCAAGATCACGAGTGGGAGGTGGTAAACTGTGGATGTGTTCTGGGTCAATAGTCCTTGCATTGTCGCGAGCCACTTGGCTTATCCATAAGTAGTGAGCACGACAGGAATCAGGCAATCGAGAATATAATACGATTCAAAAAGAGGTGAGGGCTGCGTTACATGCCATGCCAAACGCTCAGGAGAGTTGCGCACTGAATCTCTGCGGTCGTACAGTAACCCAACAGGACTTGACATGAAAAGAGTCTGCTGTTAGCCAGTTCCAAATTGCGATCATGAGCAAAGTTCGAAATTTCCAGCAGAAGGGCTTTGAAGAGGACGACAGATGCGCGGCCGCACTGGTCGCGACTTGAACTGCGTCCCGGCGATCACCGCTCCACATGCATGCCTTAGAATCCTCCGCACACTGCTGTAATTCGGTCTTCAACGCACCTTGAATCAAATTGTAGACTTCGCTTCCTTTTCTAAGCCCAGTCTGCACCAACACAGGACGGACATCGACCGGATGTGTTAGTGCTCGACGGCTTCGTCATGCAGAGCCGATGATTTAGATATATCATACTGTTGGGGCTATTTGGTGTTGTAGAAAATGAGATATCACCGATATGTGCTCGCTGCACAAACCTCAGTAAGTCGTTCTTTGTATAGCATTGACGTATGGCATTTACCCCGTCACAGCCCTTGAATAACGAACACGTTTGATGTAATCTGTTTGATGTCATGACCATTACTGGCGGAGAGGCTAGTCGGAGAGGTCACTATATCCAAGTTCAACCCCCCTGTCCGTACTAAATTCCACAATGGAATGCACAACAAACCACCGATCGTACTTATCCGCAAAACCAGACTCCTTGTGTGCCTTTCTCCGGCAGTCGATCATGCGTCGAAGAGCCCCATCGGAGAAGTTGGGACAATCGTATATAGCGAGTGCGATCATGCTGGGGCACACCCACCGTCCATCACGCGGTACCGACAGCATTTCCAGGAACGCATCGTCGAGGCTGGGACACCGCCGAAAGGTAACGTTCATTTCGTGTGACCCCGCATTGGACGTCGCACCGAATGCGCTACGCAGGTTCTCAGCGCCGTCAATGTCCTCCAGCACCAGCGTGCGCGCATATGCAAGGTTGATCCCACCAAGGGGCAGCGCGCAGCGTCCGAGGCGCAGGCACTGGCAGTACACGCCGTCCTGCAGCAGCGCACCGATGACGTCCGTGGGCATCTGTTCTAACGTCAGCGAGCGGACGAACGCTACATAACCGGTGTCGGCACAGTCGAGCGCGAGGTCCACGAGGCGCATCTTGAGTTCGGTCCACCCGCGCACAGACTCCCAGAGGTCGCGTACGGAGAACGTCGGCACGTCCGGGCTGGGGGCATAGCGCGATACTTGCAGCACACGGAGCCAGGCTAGGAGTTCCGTCCCCATTATGTCAAGATATGCGTCATGATAGATGTAGCCATCGACGCACAGCTCTCGAAGGGAGGGAACGAGGAGAGGTGTGTCCTTGTTTAGGGTGCGGCGCACTGGACCTCGTATGCCATCAGATGATCTTAGTAGCAAGCGAAGAAGCTCAGGCGCGTTCCCGGTGAGGTCGTGGGACGGGAAGGGGAGTGATGTGCCATGAAGAACATCGACGGACAAGTTGTGCCAACGGCCTATTTCGGGTTTGAACACTTCCAGCACGGCGGCGACACAAGCTGCTTCACTGGAATCACGCTCATCATGGTGGTAAGACTTGCGGCAGATGTGGATATCGAGAGGCGCTTGGGCGGGGGCCAACGACAGTGCTAAGCGGGCTGCAGCGAGTGGCGCAGGACTCTTTTCATCGATTAGAATGATAATTCGCGTCCAAAACTCGGATACGACAAACATGGCGTTCATCCAGGTGGTACATACGTTTGCCATAGAGTATGGAAAGGCTGCTTCAGGAGCAAACGTATCGCAGTCGAGAGTGTCTTCCCAGTCATGTTTTGAAGGAGAGAGGAATATGCGGGACATGTAAAACACTTGCTTGAAGATCAAGACCAAGACGTCGAGGGGGAGCGAGGGGGCGGAGCGTGCGCTTTGAGTGTGGGATGTTTGGGCGATCATTGAATGGTCATTGCCGCGGTGAATGGAATCTTGCTTTAACATCACGACTATCGTACCAAAATTGTAGCAATGAGCCCCATGTGATCCACAGCGATGCTAGCAGTGACATGAATACTGTGGAGTACGCACCGGTCTTGACTTAATGATGTTCCAAATTTCAATCTATCGCGCTCACTGACAGTGTAAGTACTTACGACAGTTCGGTACATAAAGCAGTACTTACAGACATGAACCTCAATACCGTGCGTCTCAGATCCGCTGCCACCGTCATATATGCATGCGCTGCATGGCCGCCGGCATGACAGCCGATGGCTGGACTGGGGCTATAATACCGTCCTGATGGCAAACAGTGTCAGTCAGCTGGATACTAGAGTGTTGACAACTTGGTCACGTAAGAAGGGAATTTGTAGTGGACTGCTTAGAGGATCTAATCGAATATATACCGTTGCGGTTCATCATTGACGTCAAGCCAAATTTATGACTGGCGGCGCTCCCATGCTGTCCAGGAAATTCAAATATCGCGTCAGTGTATTGGCAGTCTAATATAGTAAACTCTTCACAGGGGCGATTGAATCATTGGCATAATCAGATGCACCGCCCTGGTAAACAACACTTTCAATATGTTCGGGGAAAGTATGACTTCTTGTAGACGTAAGGTCATGCTATCCGAAGAGTGCGAGAGGCCAGTATTATGGCCATTGCCGGCCGCTCAACGAGTTTACCCAGCACGAGTTGTGAGAGATACGAGTGTGGGTTTGGGGTTTCACGGTCCTGACTTGCGTTTTGGTCGGCGAATGTCGGTACGGTGTCCCTTGTTACGTATACAGCACAATCAGGACTAGTACCGAGATATTGTAAAGTAACAGGACCAGAAATGCTATTAGTGTCCGAACTTCACCAGATATATGGATAGCTTACCTGGATCGGTCCTAGGGTTAGTCGTAAGCGGTATACGCGCAAGTCATTTCGGGCACAACTATGGTGTCGATGCAGCGCCGGGCGGCCACGTACTATCTCAGGTTCGCACACTTCGTTCCGATTGCAGGATCGGTGCGATACGCTGGAAGACTTTTAATTTCTGCCCATACAATACAACATACTCATCGGAAGGTTTCAGTCGTGATTGTTATGTAAACAAAGGGCGGCCACTATGATTTCAAGTTCCGGTGTCAGCGAGGCTTCTCCAACGAGACATCTCAGGCGTGAGTAGCTTCATGACGTCCGAAACGCGTGACGCTTCGCCGGAATTGGGGTGGTCGGGGTCGTACGCATGGCAACAAATGTAAATGTCGACGATGGGATGCTTTGGAGTCAAAACGAGTCTAGAACACACACTGTCGAGAGCGGTGTAGGATTTTTGTCGACGAAAATAATAAGCTGCGTCTAAAAAGCAGATACTGAGGACATTTAAAGGACAGGAACTTGTCACTACCTTGATTCTTTCTAATGAGTGATCTGATATATAAGCACACCATTTTCTGGAAAATCGACTGCCCTCTCGAATATCTTTGTAGTCCGATCTCCATAAATACCTCAGCTGAGTGAATTTTTCCGCAGTTTTGTGTACAAGATTACGCACGAGGGCGGTTATCTGTATTCCTTATAGAATCGGAGGCGGAATGAAAGAAGGCAGCCATCACATCATATCCTGGAATAATCATTCTGCGCGAATCTGACATTTCTGTAGGTCCATCGTCGCTTATCACTTATCCATCTGGGAGCAATGGTACAATATGTCGGACGGTCACAAATTGAGAGTCAGATTAATCAGGGATATATTCACATCCTGAAATTGGGCTCCGACAGCCCTTCCGGAGACAAGTCTTGAGAGTTAAGACACCGCTTGAGAATGATACCAACGCTATGCAGCTTGGCGTTGTTCGTTTTTTACGAATGCATTTCCAAAAATCCGTCTTGCCTTTGTACGAGCTCATAGGTGTCATCAACAATTTCTGCAGCGCACAACGTGAAACGAGGGGGTCGCAGATAATGGCAAAATTATAAAGTTATCGACGAGAATGGCCGCACCATACAGACTTTCTAACGCATGGTAAGACACCACAAATCCCTGAATGGCGTGGGCACAATCGATGTCCAGCATACTAGTAAGATATGAATCTGAATTTGAACGTCCGTCTTACGGGATTTATTGGTTCTATGATGGTGATTGAGATAAGTATTAACCAGGTTGCGTGAAAGGCATGGCACCGGTAGCAGATAGCCAGCGACATCCCGTTTTGAGCTGCTACATTGCATGCATGGCGGCTCAGAACTAGAAAGGAGCCACCCTTCACGGATCGGAACAAATGCAGGCAGCGCATTCCGCAGATGGACCGAAGCTTATTCAAACTTCGTCAGATTTAGATTTGGAGGACTCGCCAGCGGAACTTACGTGGGAAAGAGTAAGAAGATACTCAAGTAGACACTGAACCGTGTTCCGAGGATGCCACCTTTCCAGAACCTACCAAAAATGCGACGCCTTCGAATCTCTGAAATTCATATTCGGAGCTAGTGTTTGTTATCTGTACGTAGTAGGGTCAGAACAACAGCTTCCGCGAGACGATGGTACGCAGACAAAGTCTTCGTCGAATCAGTATCCTGCTCATGCAAGGCGCTAGCATAAAGTTGCATCCGTACTGGCAGCTAGTCTGTAGGCAAAGAACATCACATTAGTGGCTTGTATGATAGTGTGAAATGGACCTGAAAGTACGCACCACGTCACAGGCAGTCGGGAGCCTGTCCGCCAAATCCGCGGATTGTGGCTAGCTTAGAAAGACTCATCAGCGCTCAATTCGCTATCACCTCACAGTGCCTATGTTGATTGCTCTCAACGACTCAGTTGTAGACATAAATGCACAGCCTCTGTCATGGTACTCGCACGGCCGCACAGATGTGGATATGGCAGATATCTGCGCTGTCCCAGTGGGAGAAACAGTCTCCATCCATTTGGGTGCGGATGTCGGCTCGGCTCCCTGCTCCGCGCTTCCAGCTGAGCAAGTAAACTAATGCGGTTGCACGTGGTTTCGGCGAGGACAAGGCGAGGATAATATTTTGACTGCATCACAAATCCGAGGTACCTTGGCGGCAGCATCGCAGGAGAGCCTATGGAAACGATCAGCGAAAGAGCTCTATCAGAGGTATAGGCAATTCGCGCTACACTGACCCTTATCATACTGCGACCAATTAAGAGTCGCGTCCGATCCGGAAGATCGTCGTTATTGCCTAGCTGGTTCCTCGAGCTCGTCGATCAGGACAATGAATGAAAAAATCGTGCCCTCTACAGTTGGCAAAGCTGAATTGTACTAGGAGCCAGTAGAAAAAAGATAGTATAACAAGAACGAAATTCATGGGAGAGAGGGAACCGCGCGCTTTGGGTCAAACATGTGGCCGATGGATGGGTTACATTCAGAGGGATGGGAAGCATGCAAAGAACGGTCTTGAGGACAAGAATCGGACACTGCCGAGATGCTAGAGCCCCAGGCCCCTTTAGGAAAGTCTTCAAGAACAGTGCGATCAGTGTCGCAGGAGTTGATTCGAACACCTATCTCTGCAATTCGAAAGCAACAGGATGACATATCATTTTTACAAGGTGATCACGATCGCAAATATTTCGTACAATTTACAGAATACACATAATACCAAAACCGGTATGCTTCTTTCGTGTAACACCCCTTCAACCTGAACTAGCTCAGTCACAGAACGTGATGGCCAGGTCAACCTGAGCATTCGGTCCTGCTTAGTCAACTCTGATGCTTGCTGAGATAAAATCGCTCACGTTAGCGGCTGAGCAGCCAACTTGGACTCCGGTCTCGCCCGAATTGTAGAAGGCATCGGGACAGCCGTCATAGGTGCCTGCGTCAGGAGAAAATAAGATATCGGTGACAGCTTGAAAAGGATGCATAACTGACAATCTGCGCCTGCACCGTCGCAACCATTGTAGTAGCTAGAAATATCATGCGTTGAGGTACTACCGAAGACAAGAGAATACTACCACTTACCCGAACCCACTCGTTACGGAGAACTCGTGCCTAGAACAAAATCAATTGAGGTAGTTCTAATAATGGAGAGTACATACGGAGGAATAAGCGAGATATCAGCACTGCTGTCGACGTTGTTGAGAGACGCTTCGACTAAAGTGCAGCCTTCACCATTGTTGCCACAATTGCCTGAATAAAATGAGTCGCAAAAAATCACTAGATTGTGGTTGAAATGCTTGCATACCAGTTTGCAAGTAGCTATTTCAATGAAGATGAAATGTGTTAGTTTTGTTTTAAAATTCAAAATCCGGCTGAACTCACGCAATCAAACCATCAGCAGGACCATTGCTGGTATAAGCACCACCGGTGGAGAGGAGAGCGCCGTCAGGTCCCCACAAGTAAGGCTATGAAACGAACATAAGGTAAATGTATAATTCATATGGAGCGTGGAATACAAACAGTTCCATAGCCACAGCTGCGATTTGTCGTGGTCAATTGGCTGGCAATAAACAAAATCGATGGCACTCACTTATTGGTGAAAGTGACGGTATGGGACTCGCCGCGGACATGCATGAATGCCAGGGTGGCAGCGAGGAGAGCGATAGTGACCTTGCTGATCATGGTGAGTAGTTCGTGAAGTAAGGGAGAGTGTGAAAGCCGAAGTGGAGGAAAGTAGAAGACCTGAGGAGAGGTGATCTGAGGACTGTAGGAATTGCAGCACGGCTTTTAAACTGTAAAGCTGGAGATGACGAAGGAGCATTGACATGCACACCTATGGCAAAATAGAGTAGACGTCACTCCATACTTACCTGTCAGCGCTGGAGGACATCGGGGAGGAGTGGGTCATCATCGCACGCTGTGACTGTTGTTCCATTCTAGTCCTGCTGGCTCCGACAGTCTGGGGTACTCCATACGTACGGTGAAAGTATTTCGAGTGGCGAGGCCTCAGGGCCTTCTTCCAGGCTCAGTCATATGCTGCTCAGATGTCTGGATGCGATCATAATTCTACCCGCATGATACAGATGAGCATACGCCGACAAACCTCGTTAAACTTGCTGCAAGGAACTTATAAAGTGACCCAAATGACTGAGAGTATTCTACTCTCCAGCATATAGAAGGACTTTGCCATTGAAAGAACAATTTACTGGTTGAATCAATATTTTATGCGAAATAATCATCGATCCAGAACGCACCTTCTAAAAACTTCTTTTTCCCTCGCATGGCGTAGTCTGAGCCCAGCCATTACTAAACGAGTTTGAGATTGATATCATGACTTCCGTCATTCTAGGCACCGCAAGACGAGTAAAGTATTAAGTGCAGGCTCGCAGACACAAATGACACGGGCTTATGCGGACCTATTACGCGGGTCTTTTCAGTGTCGTAGCCCCAACTAAATGCACAAGGACCTGTGCCATGCCAAGGGATGGGTATCTGTGTACGATCAAACCGCCTCTATTTTGACCTTATGAGCACATACTTTGACCCAATCTCTCGACGCTATACCTCTTGGGACATGGATACCAATTCCTGGTACTGAGATCGGAGCGTAGCTGCTGCATTCCGGTCAATCCACGGCTCTATTTCTGCATCAGCATGATTGACGGTGAGAATAAAATCAAATGAGGAGACACGTGCCAGAAAACGCAAATTTACACTGTCCAGTCGTCGGGGTTCGGCCGCGGTTTATTTCTAGGCGTTCCTGATGATCTAGCCAGTAAAAGGTGTGGCATGCCCTGCGGCATAAAACGACGCAAGTGCCGAACACGCATCACTTTCACCACTCGGAATGGAAGACTGAGAATGTGTCCAGACGGGACGGGGTCGACTGTGCCTGCTGCGCGATGGCGTTTGCGGCATTGAGATATGACAGCTGGGACTCTGGTGAGTCAAGCAGACAGTGATCAGCTCGCAGTACTCAAACGAAACAATTCATGTCTATCGTTCCTCACCGGAAAGGGTCATTTACGGGTGCCATCGAGCACAATGTCCGCACCCCAAAAGCAAGAGACAGTTCATGGAAGCACCGGAGGTCCTGAACATTGAATACTAGGAAAACACATCAGCACTTTGACAGGAGGTATCACGACTCATGATCCAGGTGTGCCTGCGGTCCCCTTGATGAGTTAATGCGGAGATGATAGAATGACCACTACGTCCTAGTAGAACCACGACGGAAACAGACTCAAAACCTTTTATTACGGTTGTCTTGTCTTCCCCGCTGCCAGAGGCGTGCATGCAGGTGTAGAAAGTTGTATCAAGTTGCAGAATCACTCGGAGTCCAAGCTCAAGACCGAGTCACGGGGCTACCGGTAGCTACCGGGCCGGTCACTGCGTGATGCTCGCATCATGAGCCATGGCACAATCTGAGTACTTTGAGTGTCCAGACCAGGACCACATGCACATGCTCAGAGAAAAATACTGTACACATACTGTTACTCGGGCTATCCCTCACGCTTTACTCCTGCAAACTTTGGACACTAGTACCGTAGGGGCGCAAAATGAGAGTACCAGATGTCAGATGTCCGTGACGACACTGTTGCCGCGTTACGTCACGCGTTTGAATGACCTTGCGCGCGCCCGGCGAGTCGCTCAGGCTAGTCGAGGTGTCGTCGTCGACACAAATATACGACAATCAGGTTGCTTTGACAAGCTGGTGCGCAGTTCAACGAGAACTTGACCTCCACAGTAACAAATCATCCCTAGCTCTATGGCAGACGTCCACGCGGACAAAGTCAGTCACCATGGTGCGCTCATTCTTCACGTTTGCGTCGCGTTACCCATACTTGAGCAAAAGTAATCTTCATACTGCGCCACCCCGCAAGACTGTAGCAGCCGGAATCGACTGGAAAGACCTCAACGCTAGTGCTTCGGCCAAGATGACACCCACAGATTTTCTAGTCCTCATCTCTAAGCGGGTTAACTCTATGTCGTCTTTCCCTATGTGTCTCTCCGAACGTCAGCTATGGGAGCGGTGTCACCTTAGTTACCCGGAAGTAACCCGCATGTTCCCTTACTATATCAGCCTTTTGTGGAGTGAGGCCCTATCGACAGCATCATATTTCTGGACGAAAACCCACACCGCTTGCTACAATCCGTTTTTCCCCCTAAATATCCCATCAGCATCTATATCTTTGGTCGTACATACGACCTCGACTGTCCGGATCACGATGAGGCATCTCGTATCGCGGCTGTCTTGGAATTGCTTTACTTGGAGATGTCGCGTTGGAAGAGTCTCCGTAAAGGTTCTCCATAGCACATCGCTTCCACTTCCCCATCATTGACTCTTCGAGACTGCCCCTCGGTTGGAAATCCCTGCAGCTAAAGTTAACGGACAGCTTACCATCACATCGCGAGGCAGTTTCCCCAACTATATTTTTCAAAGCACCATGCTTGGACTGGCCGTACATCGATGGCTGCATCTATTATAACACATTCATTTGTGCAGGATCTTTCCCCGAAACGATCCCGCCAGCCAACGATCTCGCGCTGAAGTCGAGATTCCAGGCAATGCTCAGTCGTGGATTTATGCCTGTCCCTTCAAGATTAGGAAGATGATTTTTATGTCCGCCTTTTTGGCATCAAACAAATGAGGACTTCGAGGATGAAGATGATATTGAAGATGTAGAAATTCTGGTCCTAAAGGCAATGCCAAGAGAAGATTGCCATACTATCCCGCATGATTGATGGTAATTGCGGGAATCTTCAACTCACGCGGTGTGTACTTCCTGCTGGATGTGTCAATCTGGCGCGTGCGATGTCCGTGGCGCTTACAGATATATACGAAGCCGTTCTGTGGTGCATGCTCACGGAAATAGACTCTCTTGATTATGGTTGCATGTAACTCTCATTCCACCATTGTACAAGTCTCGACGATCGACTGCTCCGCGCCTTATCGTTCCCTCATGCCGGACAGTGGGTATGTCCAAGGTTAAGTGGTCTTGAGATACGCGATTGCCCCAACATTTCGGACCACACCTTCAGACGACTGATCAGTAAGCGAAAGGAGGCGCATGCTGCTGCGGGGTTGCTGAGCGACAATAAGCCCAATATCATCGTAGGGTCAATCGAGTATACAAACGTAGACAGGGATATAGGCGATATATAGCTCATGTACGATTACAGACAACGAATCGCGGACAATTTACTAGTTGTGAGTTGTAAAGTTGTAGAGCATCATGCCCACAGTAAGCTGAGTCCAATGTTTCACATGAGATGAAAGTGTCGAATACTAGCCCAAAGGATGAATATATGTGGATAATACATGCTGCATTGTTCAACAATTTCTGAACTACAGCTAATGGCGAATTTATTCGATGGAGAGGAAAGGGCAGAAACAAAGTAATATGTTAATATGGACGTCCTAGCTGAACGGGCTTGTCCGTATTCAGAAGCTGGATTGAGATAATCTTATACAAATCATTGCCTATTGCTTGCCTGTATGCTTCCTTTCGATTTTCAATTAGCTGCCTGAGAGCATCGTTGGAAAAGTTCAGACAGTCATGAATGGTGAGGCTGATCAGATGAGGACTTAGCCACCCGTCATCATACGGAGCCGACATTATCTCAAGAAATGCGTCGTCAAGGCCAGCACACCGAGAAAAGGTGATTTTCGTGGCACTCAGCATGGAGAATACATCCAGAAAACTCGTTTCTGCGTCGATCTCATTCAGCGCGAGAGTATCCGCTTCTGTGAACTTGGTAACCACGGGCAGCGCACTGCGTGTGATTTCTAGGTATTGGTAGTACGTCTGATCCACAACAGAAAACAGATAGTCGATGACGTGTGCTGGCATTTCCTCCAGGATCAAGCTGTCCACATATCCCGGCTCATGTAAATGTCCAGAGCAATCCAAATCAAGGTTGACAAGGTGCAAGGTCTCGATGGTATCCCATCTAGAGATAGACTCCCATAATTTACAAACAGTGAACATCATGAAGTCAAGAGTACACCGTGATATCTTCAACATGTCGACAGTCCCAGGACGCTGTTTCGAGCGGAGATATATATCGCGGTATATGTAGCCATTGACAGACAGCTTCTCCAAGGACGGGGTATAGCATGATTGAATCGTGTTGAGTGTCCTGCGCGACAAGCCTGGTATGCCATCACGCGACTCCAGTTGCAATCGGATGAGCCCGTGCGCGTTCCCAACGAGCTGGTGATGAGGAATGGGGAGGGAGGTACCATGAAGTACATAGATAGACAGACTCTCCCATCGTTCTATTTCAGGCAAAAGCAGCTCTAGCGCTGCAGAGTCTCATGGGCATCTGGTTCATCCAGGTTGTAGGATCGGCAGCATATATGGATATCGAGATAATATTGGAAGGGCCAGGAGAGCACAAATCGAATGGAGGATAGAGGGGTGGGATTCTCAGCATCGACAAGAATGATGATTCGTGTCCAGAACTCAGACATGGTCGACATTGCATGCCTCCACGCAGTGCAAACGTTCGCTATGGAGTACGGGAAGGCAGCGGTCGGACGAAAGTCGTGCTGATCATACCAGTAATTCCACGAAGGTGGAGAGTCGGGAGAGTCGTGTGACATATAATACACTTGCTTGAAGATCGTGACTAGGATATTAAGAGGAATGTGTCGTCGAGAATGCAGAGTCGTTGATTTGTGCAACCGTTTGAAATCGTCAAAGCAAGGGGGTTCCGCCATCAAAGGGTCCGCTCCAGGTTTTTGATTGCCTACGACGTCTTCCTAGTAACCGATTGAGACATTATATCATGACCTGCGTCAATCGCTGAATATGTTCAGATGACGCACCATTGCTATATAAATGAGGAAATCAGGTCTTAGTGATCGTATCTCAACTAGTATAATACTACTAAGTATACTGACTTGCCGCTACCCTAGAGAACAGCTCGACAAGATCGAGGTAAGAAGGACGAGTTCGAGCACCAGCTTGTTGCAGCCGCGAAGAAAGTCACTCTAGCTGGGCGCGGTGTTGGCAAGCGCCAGCTGCGGAATAGCGCCGGCCCACAAGCGCGGCCCACACCGTTCACACCTCTCTTCCTCTCCAACGTGCTTTCAGTCGGAGATTCAGATACTATTGACTGCTTTCTGGAATATACTGTTTGATTACAACCAGGCTACGCTTTCTTGCAAGCTTTCTTGTGCGGCAGATCTGGTGTCAGTCGGGAACATCATGCCTGTTTTCTCCTGTGTCCATTTATCCTGTGCAACCTTGGGTTGTGACAGAGTTGGATATTCAACATCAGTAGTCAGTTGGGCGAAGGAAGCTCGGCGCTGTCAAGGATTCGTTGTGCACAACTTATGGCAAAGATGAGGATGTTCACACATCACAGTTCACTACCTACAGTGCCGCAATAGTCGGCGGTGAAACTACCTGGGACACGCTGTGCGGTTGATCTGGGATGCCTCCTGTGCGACTCTGAGATAATAAAGTAAAAAATTCGATGATGTTGGAATTCGCACAAGTTGTGAAGCTCCGCTCGAACGATGAGTTCGACTTTCAATCAGCAACTAGTGTCCGACGTTAGTATGCTGAGCCTCAGAGTTTGCTCAGGCTCGCTGTCATAAGCTGATCGCTGTATGCTAGCAGGTAACAGACAGTATTTCGTGGGCGCCGGCCTCAGATGAGTATTGGGCAGGTACAAAATCATTCCCCCCATTTTTGTCACTCTTGCTGAATCTGAATCCCATAGCCATCTGGCATCCCATTGCCACAAAGAAATTTCTGCCCCAACCGAGCCGATGGGTGCTTCTATCTTTTCAACGAGGCTCCTGAGTCTTTCAGTATAATTACTGTGTTCGCCCTGCTTCCTAAATCACGGCATCTACACTCGCGCTGACCGTACATATGAATGGCGCCGTGAGGGCATATCGATTCTATCTGCGTCTAACTGTGCGGACAATACAGGGGATAACCATCGCCTGTCCAGTGTCGGCGGATGGGTGAGCAGAATCAGTACTCAATATTTGACGTCAGATATATGGAAGTTGGACAGTTCAGGCCACTACCAGGGGGTCGCATTGCCGCCTCATTTGCGCATTTAGCCGAGATGCCGTGTCTGCCACGGCACATGTGTGGCATAGGCACGAGACGGTACCATCAGCATCAATTACTATATTTCGACTGTTAGATGGATGCAGGTTGCATTCGTCGAGTAGTCGAGGGAGTGAGCGTGTTCCGACACTGTACATAATTCACTGTACGTCCTCCCAAATCTATTTTGAAGCTCACACAGGGCATCACATGTGCAATTTATGAAGCATGCGCTGGTAATCACATAAAAGGTTCCCCTTCCATCTGTGCTTCTTCAACTCCGCATACATCCCTTCAGATGCGAAGCTAGCTCGTGTATCTTTTGCAGTTGAAGGGCATTTCAAATTGGTCCTACGATTGGAAAACTTTTAGTATGAACTGACGCACCCGCCATCAAGTCGCCTTCATCCGCTAGACTGGCTCGGTAAGTCTTGTCGCGATGAAAACAATGGAACTGCTCACACGTATCAGAATCCAATTCATCTCGCCAGCACTCATCGAATGCATGGAATTCGCTAACATGCTCTGCGAAAGATCAAGTAGTGTCTAGCCCCATCAAACGTGACAGTTGGAGTAGCGAAGACCCGAGCGCATCATTGGTCCCAGATCTTGTCTGGAAATGCGACGACCCAAGGCAAAATCCGCCACACATCGCCAGACAAATAATGCTTCCATCCGCCGTTACGGCACTCCGAACAGAAGGGCGACCTCCTCAGTCCAATACTGACGCAGCTTTGGGAAAACCGACGATGTACTCGAGCTGGAGCTCCGCGTGACTCTCTCAGAATTGAAAATGGATCACATATCCCCACACTGCGGTTACTAGACTGCGCGGCGATCTCGAACTGGGAAAGGCATGTGGGGACCAGGAAACGGACCCGCGGCGCACGGTGGTAGATGGTGACATCTGGCACTACCCTCTTGGTCTGCAATAGGAAGGACTTTCTTTCTATGCCGAACGCTGAGAAAGTGGATGAGTCTACCAGCGCGCCACCAGCACCACTTGGTCAAGAGGGATGCTGAATCGAACATGTGCGCGTATTCTGTGGGGGCGGTCGGAGAGATGGGGCTGCCGGAGAGACACTCTAGAAAGCCGCATGCGAGTTTCACTGAAATACAGATGATCATGCGACTATTCAATTTGCGATGTATCTTTGTCTTCTTCGCGAGCGGTCTGACCGTTAAGGTAGGTTCTGATGGGCTATGCAGACAAAGGTCTCCCTGTTGTCCAGATACATGTCGGTGCATACCTATGCTATGTTGTGAAGTGCTAGGTATATGCGCACAAACACTGGTAAAGACGGGTCAGGGGCTTGGCTGCTGCACAAACTCGACTTGCAAACGAATCTGCAAACGTATGCACTTATTCAATGAATCGCTGCCACACAGTCCTCCGGCGCTTGTGCGTGAATTCTGCGAAGTCCATCTGATTTGCTTCTGACAATGGTAGTAAAGGACTCATCAGGAAGGCAGCGTGTTTACCACTTGACCGCCGCTTCGAACGGCACATGCATTCAAATATCCAGGGCCTTTCGTATTGGAATTGAGAGTGGTGCCACTGGCTTCGCGCTACCAAAGAGAACGTGGTCGGCCCAGCACTTTGTGGCTGGCTCATCATCATTTGATACCAATACAGGGCATGCAGAAGTTGTGGGGAAGATGGCTACAAAGCAGTTTGCGTAACCCCTTGTACGCGTTGAGTACGTACATGCGTTTGATACCACCGCTCCCCTCAAATAAACAAACGAGGTGGCTATCGTCAGGACAGTACGGCCGATATCTGCTCAATTCAGACCGAGCGCACCGTACCGCCTATCTTGCTACCTCTACGCACCCCAAAATTTGCAGCGGACCCAATGATTAATGAACCCTGGAGTTGCCGATCACATACTGCGAGGGTTCCCCGAGAGACTTGTGCGCATGCGCAGACGGCCGTTCGCCTATCATATGGCGGGCATTATTCTTCACGACTCCCCATGTGATCGGGAACGGAGGTAACCGCCGTCGGACCCAGGTTGCCCTATTCGACTTGCAAAGTTCGGCCTGTCCAGGACAAGGACGAGCAGCCGCCGGGCTTAATGGGGTCTATCTTAATCACATCGTCTTGCGCCCTCCCCCAGACCACAAGATTGCCCTATACTACAAAGCGATATGTAAAGCCCATACTGGATTCTGGCTGTACGCATACCTTCACAAGCACGTTCCATGCTGAGACTTGCAGGTGTGCGCAGGCAACAGATATCCCAGCATTGTATCAGTATTTCTGCAGAAGTAATCTGGATAGGCGTCCTAATGGCAGTCACACAAAATGAGATCGAAGGGGAGGAGCCAACCCTGAACACCAAATGTTTCTGATAATGGCCCTGTTTTCATAACGCAATCCTCGATGGACTGTACCTCAGATGTCGGGTCATCCATGCACGCAAAATCGGGTTTCTTGTGAGCCTCTCTTCGACTATCAATCACCCGCGTTAGAGCATTGGTAGGGAAGCTTGGACAATCGCAGGCTGAGAAGCTGGATAACCCGGCGCGCAACTACGAGGCCGACAGCGTTTCGAGGAATGCATCGTCTAGGCTAGGACACTCGAAAATGGCGAGACCCGTGTCCCCCGCCATGCGTTCAGAGGAATTGAACACGCACTGCAAGTCTGTTTTGCTGTTGATGCCTCACAGCGTAAACGTCTGCGCGCGGATGCGAGATCGAGAATGTCCTCAGGCAGAGCACTGCGCCTGGTGGATATGTACGGGTATTCTTCGTATTTCATGTCGGTGAACAGCCTCGCGATGACGAGCCAATATCTCCTCTAGGAACATACCACATATTTCCAAACGCGAATCTCCCGAGCAATCCAAACCAAGGTCCACAAGGTATAAGCAGCCGGCCGCTCCCCATCCGCAGGTCCTGAGCTCCCATATGTTGCAGACGGCGAGGAGTGTCAAGTCAAGGACGTATCTCGATATCTTCAAGCAGGCGATCTTGCCAGGGCACTCCTTCACGTAGAGATATGTATCGCGGAAAATGTATCCAGCAACACGCAGGGACCTCAAAGATGGATGATTCGTCGTCAACGGGATCCTATGCGCCGAGCCCGATAATCCGTCGAGTGAATGCAGCCGCATATAGACAGACGGGGGCGCATTTCCCATAAGATGGTGATGGAAGGGAGAGCAAAGGTCCACGGAAAACGTCGATAGACAGGCCCCCCATCGCCCTACTTCGTGCATGGCCAGTTCTAGCATAGCAGACGCGTGATCCCTTGCAATGGTCTGGCTCGTCAAGGTCGTGGGACGCATGGGCTAGCGCAGAACAAACAGCGAATAGAGGAATGGGATCGTTCACATCGACGAGAGCAATGGTTCGCGTCCAGAATTCAGACACAATCAATACGGCATCTATCCGTACAGTGCACACGCCTAGCATAGCATACGAGAAGGCAGCTGTCGGAGGGAACTCATCCCGCTTGATCCAGCCGTCTCACAATGGTACAAAGGCTGTAGTACCTGTGAGATGGTGCAACATGGCGTACGCCCGCTTGAAGACCAGGCAGTTCGACTATCCGCAATAACATGCCGGTAGTGAAACGAGACGAGAGATGCACCACGTATCACTGCGAGAACCGCCTACGGACTACGCACTGTGACTGAAAAAGGACAAAGTCTCCGCAAACGCACATTCCCCTGCGGCAACCCGTCCGAGACGTCGCTGCCAGAAAGGAGAGAAGCGTCTTGACGAATATGGTAGCGAGGGAAGCACGCAAATAATGTGGGCGGTTGGCTGGATGCGACCGAGCGTCGCTTTTGCATCGCTGGTATTCGTATGGCAGTCGGTATCTACACCGTTACACGTAGTAAGGGCGAAGCAACAGCTTCCGCATGACAAGGTTACGCCGGCCGACAGGACCTGGGCCGAGTCAATGCGCTCCTCGT